CAGAGATAAAAATGATGAATTTGCAGTTTATCAAAACTTCTAGTGATACTGGCGTAGGACGGTCACTTTCTCTGCAGTAAGTGTGACTTCTCCAAATTTACATTTACAATCCCGTGTTGCTATACTAGCTAAAAGGCAGGTTTACAGTCTGGCACCTGCTCTTCTGCCTTTAGTGCCTCTCAACCGGATGAGAAATCTATAATCCCTATCGAGAAAACCGGCTTTAGATTCATGCGTGGCACTCCCTGCGAGCGAAAGAGACGTTCTCATTTTTCTACCTGAATGCTTATTATGAAGAGTAGGCTCTGTCATCAGTTATTCGAGTTACAAAATTGATAAATTATGCCACGCTGCAGCTGGAATTTGACATTTCCTATAATGCTGAAGATGGCATCTGCATCTTGGAAAGATAAACCCCGTTATCACAATACTCGGGGAATATATTATGGGGCAGGAGAAGAGGGCATCCTTAAAATTCTAGGCTCTTTTTTACCATTGTCATCCGTCTTGCTTTCGGTAACGAGCATGATCTTTATTATCTATTTGTTTGCTTGGTAAGGCCTTCGTAAATGCCTTGTAAATATCGTCTTTAGACTTTATTCTGTGTTATCAAGCAAATTGTGGTTCGTTATGGTTTACGTCTGTTGACTGTCTTCAGTATAATTTTGCTTTCACATAAGTACAAAAACGGTTCAAATTTTTTATTTATGTTAGCGGTAAATTTTTTTCGACTTAATTCGAGTTTATTACATGCTATCTGACCATGGGCAACAACTGCGTTGCGGTGAAACCTTTGGCCTCACCCATAAAAGATCACCAGGAAATTTCAATTTTAATCAACGCGTACTTAAACGATAGATATTCTTTACCCAAGGCAGAGGTGTAGGCATATGTACGACAACTTTCAAAGCCATTCGGCCGGTTGTGCACGCGTATTGCATGCTCCTCCCAAACACTCACCGAGGTATAGCAAAACAAAGGCTAGTATATTTAGCCGTCCAAGGGCATACGTAGAATTCGCTTCTCCATTGGGCAAAGAGAAATAAGCCGAAAGATTTTACGTCATGTTTCTATTAATAAAAATTAAGTCTAAGCACAGCGGCCGAGCAATCATCACACCAACACCCAACGCACGTGATGAAATTGCAGCAATTAACGACACGAATGTCGTCCATCAAACAATTAACACACCAAATGCAACGATCCCGGATGATGGGGGGAGCTGTGAATATTCATATGTATGTGGTAGCATGGCGACCGCATCCTATAAATACGGCAGCCCCTTGTGCGGAAATCACCTGTTTCTGCTGTTGTCTCTGATGATGGATTCGAGCAGAAATGCGAAACGTCCGGCTGATAAAGCTCTTGTCCTAGCGACCGTGTCTCCGTCTTCAGGACTACTTCCTGGGATTCGCCTCCTCGCTTCTCTTGGCAAACAACTATGTTCCGTGGCTAAAAATATCTACCGCTCTCCGGAACTGTTAACGAATGCACGGCTACAGACTTAGATATCCCGTTCATCATCCCCCGAAGAAGACGAAGAAGAAGATGTGGCGAATTCATGGACCGAGTTATATTTGTACTGACGTTTCGGAAACCCTCTCGTTTCCATCATCAGAGTAATGCGTTGACTGTTCCTGCTGGTCTTGATTGCGTCAGCCTTGATGCCTGCCTGGTATTATATCCGTGCGCGAGGCACGAACTTTGACCTGCACGTTCGCCGCCGATTAGCGTTGACCTCTCCACGATTGACCGCCGGTGGGCTCCTGCCACTAATGACCCCTTTTCGGCCGTCGTAATTGTTGGTGAGCCAGCATGTTTGTCAGACTCCCCCTCGTCACTCAACGGACTGAACAGTTGTTGGGGCTCATGTGAGTTGATCTCAGCCTCGTGGGTGTTGCGGTGAGGTGGCGTCGCATGCTGGTCACATGATCCCCGGCCGGCTTCTCTCCCACTTTCTGCTGACATCGGCTGTCGACCACGCGTCACTTTGCTCGACTGTCCTGATGGCCTTGTCCGCACTGACTCGAGCCTTGTACGTAGCGCCTGATAGGCGGGATGCAGATCTATGGCTCTGTTGAGTGTGCCAGTCGAGGACCAACTTTCGAGCACCAGTCTGGCCATCTTATCATTGGCTCGGCCGATTACCCTTGCCTTTTCAAAGGCGAAATTGTGGTTCTGTTGTTTGACGTGGCCATAAACCATAGACAGCTTGTCCTCGCGGTTGATTGCAAGCTGGTGTTCATGCAATCTTGTGCCAAGACGTTTGCCTGTTTCACCAACATACCTTGCATCACAGTTTTGGCATGGTATGCTGTAGACCACCGCTGATTGTTCTGTCACCGGTTGCGGGTCTTTGGGTCTCATTATTTGCTGTCTGATTGTTGACTCTGGCTTATGAGCCACTCCGATCCCGAAAGGCTTCAGGATTCTTGCCGTCGCCTCTGACACGTTTTTCACATAATGGATTGCGAGCCAAAATTTCGGGTTTTCTCCATCCAACCGCTCAGGGTAGGGCTTCTTAAGACACTTGCGTATAAAGGACTTAGGATAACCGTTGGTTTTAAATAGGGCGTGCAAGTACTTAATCTCCTCCTTCCTCCCATTGTCGTCGCTGCAGTGTGTTTGAACGCGTTGGAAGAGGGTTCTGACACAACTGCGTTTGTGTCCAACGGGGTGGTTGCTCTTGAAGTGGAGGATTCGCCTGGTGTTAGTTGCCTTACGGTAGACCGTTGTCCTTATCTTCCCTAGATATTTAGATATTTATAATTAACAGCTAACCGAGTGTCGCGCACAGAGACACCGACTGACGCAGCGGATACTTCCACTTAATTGTGCTTAATTCAGCAATCAAATCCTGATAACCACATTACCTAGTCGCTTCCATATTGGAAAGGACTTTATTCATTACACACAAAGTACTATTTCCGATTGTAAAATCTGTAGGTCTATATTACGACACACAAACCGCCATAAATGATCGATTAACATTTGTACGTCAGACGTCTTAAACCGCAGCGTTTGGTAATCATGGGATCACAACAAACGTAGACGGGCGTCGCAATCCGAAGATCACTGACATATTTACCCTACGACTGATCATGCAAAGAGATGAGTTAAGAGTAATCACCACAACATATAATTAGAACACCGTAATAATCCTTTCCGACTTATTAAACGTCAACCGACAACAAAAGACGTTTTCCATGCGTTCAGTGGGACTTCGAGCACTTTACATCCTGAGAATGTTTAACGTAAGGTTCCAGTTTTGGCCTATTTCGGTAACATCCGTAACTGAGAATAAATGCGTTAGTGTTCAGTCCATCCATTCATTTTAATTGTCTTTGGTAAGTGGACTCATTTTTGCGGACGCTGAACCCATTTTCATGCAATAAGCACGCCTTCGAGACTACTTTCTTAGCGAAAGCATCCATATAAATTGACTGCACCTTCAACTAGCGAAGATCATACGATAGGCGAAAATCAGACTCATAATGAACGGAAATTCATATACTTCTGATATCTGTACATTCTGAATGGTTTATATGTCTGCGGCGTCCTACACAACTAGGCATTACGTAATTTATCTTATATTTCAGTTTCATGTCGACAGCACCACCAGTTATTTATATTATTTAACTTATTAATAATGTTCATGTAAGAATTATACATTTCCTGGCCTGCATCGGCTCGTTTTGTAAATTTTCATCTTCAGTAAACTCCAAACTACTAGGTTAAATTTTTTATCTTCTCTAGAGACAAGCACTTTTAGCCGCGCGATCGAACGGTGATTACAGGCACCACAGCTCATACCATGTGAACAGACGTGATTAATCCTTAAAACACTTATCAAAAAGGCATGCATTGCAAAACATTATGCAAAAAGGCATCCTAGTTAAGTTTATGTTTTATGAACTGCCACGAACTCTATGGCGTTTGCACAGGACGCATAGGCCATAAGACAGAGTACATTGCAAACGACCAGTCACCTCCAACTAAAGAAAGTTTAGCACAGTACCAACATTTGACAGTTTAGGTTACTCAAATGTGTCGGTAAATATCTTAATGAAAGTTTTCTAAATCTACAATAATAATAACGTGAATTTTTTGTCTTCAGATATACCAAGATGCCCTTGTTCTAGTTACGGCTCTACTCTCAATGGTGTTGCTGAATACTTGGATCGGCAAGCTGATTACCACGGCTTCGAGAAAATAATAGCGAGTAAAAAGGGCGTTTCTTCGTCATATTGAGAGTCCACGCGGAGCACTTGTCCTTTGATTGCACATTTATACGAAACGAACAAGCAGAAAGTTACTGGCAATACGCATGCTTATCTCCGATCCCTTATGTCGAGCTTCATATATTAAGAGAGGTAAAATAAGGTTAATAGTATCACTATTAAGTTTACGAGCAAAGTGTAGGCCGAACGCTATTTTCGACATGCCTCTAACCTGTGTTCTTATTTCATGCACATTGTCAAACTAACAGAGCTTACAACGGAAAAAAACTGGATGACCGCGAAATACCGGTAGATATTTTAAGGTCAAGTTACGTAGTTTAGAACTGAAGGCATCTGCCAATGTTACTTACTGGAAAGGCGACAACAACCTGCCAAATATAATTCAATTGTCTGCACTGGTATATATTCAAATTCTTCGGACAATGCATATGAAACTGTCATTCCGAATTTATTAAAGATGTTAAACATGCGCGCCAGTGAATTCAGAGCCATCCTCCATCAAGAAATGTTGATTACACAGTCCATAGTTTGTCGGCAGTAACGTTTGGCAGTACAGAAATATGCGGCGCGTGTAACCATTGGCTCTCATTACCCGTCGAAGATATTGTAAGTCAGCAGCCCTGTCTTCCATTTCACTGCAGTTCGTCGCAACGCGCCGGTATAGCGCCCTTACGCAACTGCGTTTGTGACTGATCGGGTGGTTGCTTTTGAAGTTCAGTATTTGCATCGTATTTGTCACTTTCCCGAACACTTTGGTCTTTAGACCACCACAATCATTGCGGCAGACGAGGACATCAAGAAAGGCCAGCTGGTTAATTTTTTCTCCTCCATCGTAAATTGTATGTCTGAGAAGACGCTGTTGAGACGTTCTTTGAACGTAAGCACCTGATCCCGTTCGATGACGACGAAATTTTCGTCCAAATACCGAGCCCAGAATTTCGGTGTGTGGTGTTGCAAGACCAGCGACTCCAACCGCTGTAGGACCGCCTCGGCTATGAGTCCCGAACTCGGCGAATCCATTGACGTTTCTTTCATTTGCTCGGAGATTGTTCCGTCAAACGTAAAGTACGTCTTGAGACAGAACTTCAGGAGCTGGATTGTTTGGGCGTGTCCGAGGCGATTCTCCGTTCCGTCGTATTTCTCTCTTAGGAGTAGTTCGATGGTCTCGACTGCCAGGTCCTGTGGGATAGAAGTAAAAAGGAACGTGACATCAAACCATGATGTCGCTTGGCAGGAGACTTACTCCGTTTGGTTTCTCCAAGAATTGCGTTGACGAGCTGACTGTGGTGTTTGAATCGGAGGTCAGGAACTTGAGACGTTGGAACAACCACTTTGGCAGTCCGTAGGTTGGAGTGCCCTTTAGTGATACGATAGGCCGGAGAGTAGCGCCCCCTTTGTGCACTTTTGGGAGACCGTAGAATCGGGCTAGGGCCGTTTCTTGTGCTCTTGCCATGCGTCGGTAGATTGGCGGTATTGCACCTGAGTTCTCCAGTGCCAACAGCGTCGCGGTAATCTCGCGTGTCAGCGTTTTCATGGGGTTGGATTCGCATGGGACATAGGACTGACGATCCTCCAACGAGCTTTTGGATTTTGATTGTAGTCTGTCCTGTTCAATACGACCGTTGAACGTCCCTTGGTCGCAGGCACGATAAGGAGGTCGTTGTCGGCCCTGTGTTCCTTAAGTGCATCGCGCTCGACCTTGGAAAGCACGTCGCGCGTCCTATAAGCCATAAGGATGGAGGACACTTGGTGTCGAATGAGGTTCTTCGTTTCGTCTGTCACAACTTGTCGTCAAATGAGCTGACGGAGGAACAAATGCAGGCTTTACGTCATGAGGACTCAGTCAACAAAGCCACTGCCAAACCTGCCAACATGATCGCAGCAGCGGAATCAATACTCTGCCAGACGGGAGCGATAGACGAAACGAAGAATCTCATTGGACACCAAGTGTCCTACTGGAAAACAAGGTTGCCGAATTCCAATATCTCGACGGGTTTTCTGAGGCAATGGTTACCTGCGCAACTTTGTCAACCAGTGCATACAAAGTGACACCAGAGACCAAATTAAACCGACTCCGAATTTTGGCGGGCTCTTTCGTACGTGAAAAATATCTCGGAAGCCGTCAGTCGTCTTCTCACTCCACCTGGATTTGGTATTGCACACAGGCCGGAAGCAACCATTAGGCGCCAAATCATGAGGCCAAAAGATCCGGTGTCACGGCAGGAAAAGTCTGGAGTCGTTTGCCGTATCTAGTGTTGTTGTGGACAAAGCAATTATGTCGGAGAATCTGGGAGGTTACTCCGAACTCGAATTGCCGAGCACGCAGCAGCAGTGAGGCGGGGAGACGCTAACTCTCAGTTGGCGGCGCACTCGCCGGGACCCGGCCATATGTTCAAATTTTAAGAGGTCGAAATCCTCGCAAGGGGTGACAACCGCGTGAGTCGCGAGCTACTCGAGTCAGGGTTCTCAGGCCCGCAATCCATCAACAAGCACAATAACCTCCCGGTACCCTATTCCGTACTGCGATTTTACCAGTAGCAGGAGAATCAGTCACATGGGGTGGGCGCGGGCGACCAATCATCACGGAGACAGTGAGCCAGCAAACAGCACTAACTAACTAACGTTTTGCTTATGCGCCTACCGGATTCACTCCGATGCTTCTTCTAGGATGTGAACCAGTTAGCTGTTGAGGACTTGTTAACTGACCGCATCTGCAAATTTTAAATTGCTCTATAGTCAGGTCAACTTAAAAATGCATGGAAATCTAAACAAACGAAATGCCTGTTACCCTTACCAACCATACTGAATAAAATGAAAATAGGCCTGCACAATATATTTTGAGCAAAGGCATTCTGACTATGTTTGCTGTCTTCAGGAAATTGGTGTTCGGCGTGGACAAAGTTAGAAAATTAAACACTTAGTGTTATAGGCCTCAGTTAGGATGACGGTCTATACAGATTCCAGTCACACCTCTAGGTCTATCACCTCAGAATTTCGATTTGATTTCGTTTAATTTCTTTTTACTGAATAAGTCTGCGCACTAACTGCATCCTGGGGTGTTCGTTTGCGTCGACCTAGGGGCTTGGGATTGTATACAAGTCTGGGAAAGCAATAATTCACGCTAAGGTTTAAAACCGCCTCAAACCAATCTGCCCTGACCTGACAGAAAGGCCGATTAAGGGGCATGGCAAATCGTAAGGCCACGAGGGTTTGCATCTCGAGACACACATCGGTCATCAAACTGACATTGGACTCTTCAATTGCATCCAACAAGACGTCAAAAAACCCGCACTAACGCCATCTGTCCCGCATCCTACAGCAGTGTGGGCTAGATAGGATGCCGTCTGACAGTTGGTCATCTTCTTTGTATAGTCATAATACGAATTACTTTAAAACATTTTTAGTGATATAAGGTAGAATTATGGCCCAAACCGGTAACACGGTCTTGCACTCGAACCTCGCTTTTAACATTCCAACATAAGTAGTCCATATGATATTAGCTGGCTCTCCCAAGTGAGCGTATTGCATTTTGTGTTGCCTGTTTGAAAGACAATCTTACAAGCGCAGAAGAAAGACAATTTGAAACCTCAACCAATCGATATGTTAACAACTAAGGCATTTGCAACGTTCTTCGACTACCCAGTACCAGTGCCTAATAATTCTCAATAGTAAATCTACACGCGAAAATCATTGCTATATAAACACAATTTGTCCAGGCTTTAAATTGATAGGTGGTTGGAACATGAAATGCGTGATTGTGCCACAAGGGGCATACTAGGAAAAACTGATTCGGCTTAAAAGCCGGTGATGCCATATGCCTCTCCAGCCTTCCGCAGTAGATCCAAACGAGGGCACGCGGAGAATTTAGTATTTTGTCAAATGACACTGCCCTTGTCATAAAAGTCATCACATTTAAAATAAAACCGTTAAAGAATTTGTAATCAATGTGTTAAAATCATTTGGAAACTGTGTTTAGTCCCTTTTAAAGGCCATTGACACTTTTGTTGCACATTGTACGAGTTGGAAAGATGTTTGGATGAAGTCACCTTATGTGGATACCGCCAAGACTCACACTTGAAAATCCAATTTCTTTTCATTTAGATGATCTTCCATTGAACGCCAGGAGGAATTTTTTAGCAGTAATAAAATCTTCAGCCTGAGTAAACTTCAAATCCTATCGTAAAATTTAGTATGACATTCTCTCTAACTCTGGATAAAACTTCCATTCAACTTAGCGCAATAACCACCTGTCTCCTCAACTGTTACTATTCCCGTCTGTGGCTGGAGAAGGGAGCAAGCATAAACGGTGCACGTCATGTCCTGTTTAAGTAAACATCTGATCTTCAGTGACCGATAGAGGCAGTCAACGAGGCACTGGTGAACATCGGTCCGTCGAAGTTTTGTTTTCCCGATCGAAGCGGGATTATGATTGAGTGAATCAAAGCCAACAAGCCTGAAATAAGGCTGTATTAGTTTATCCCCAAAACCCGTTGTATCTCCTCTGGTAGTATAGTTTTGTCGACTTCGGTCGGCAAACTGATTGCCTGTTATTGATCTCTACCACGCATTTAAAGCTTGTTTGCTTCGGAAGACCAATTAATAGATGTGACTCCAATCATGAGCAATTGTTACTTCATAATACCCCGTTTCTTTCCTAAACGAATTATCATAATCGACAAGTGGGTTTTGACCTACAAGTATACAACGTTCCATTATGTGGAACACAGGAAACCACCGAGATATCTGATACTTGGTTTACATAATTTTATACTGGAGATATCTATCAATTTCAGACACTTACTGCTGTATAACAAATACCAAATAGCATCTGCCAATGCCCTTTAGAACTCCGGCGGACATTTTCAAGTGCCTCAATATGCCATTCTATATCCAACAATTTCCTTTTACGAAACCCACTAAGGGTACGCGATCGAAAGTTTTATTTTTATTTTTAACAAAGCACAGTTGGACATTCTGTGTGAAGGCAGCAAAGTGGAGGAGTCCTTGAAATTGATGAATAAAATAATTTTTCGTTATGCCAACTTATATTTGCATTGTCTTTTGAAGCGAACATCGGTTATCCAGGAACCAGTTCAGAAGATAACGTCATGACCACTGGAACAGAGTGTTTTACTGGCCCCACGCAAACCCATTATCCGAGACAGCCGCAAATAAGGGCAGTCGAGTCACACAGAATGCATTACGTATAATGTGTAGCTGCCGTAGGACCACATGGGTACTATAAATAACAGCTTGCGCTATTACCGGTAGGATTCAAAATTGAGGCGATAATAACTCGTCAGTCAGCGTCCGAGTCATTAATTGTCGCAATTTCACGATCTGGGATTGTTGCTCGCTCACGCCTTCCACACGCGACCTATTCCCATGCTCAGGAAATACCTCCGCACCTAATATGGTAAGGGGAAATCATTGTGCTCTTCGATTGTTTACGGGCCTGAGAACCAAGCTTCGCGTAACTCAAGGCTCACACGGTTGTCAATCCTTGTAAGGAATGGGGTCTCGAAAATTGAAAATATGGCCGGTTGACGTAAACTGAGCTGATGTTTAAGTGCTAATGCCTTTTATGCCCACCGATGCTGTGTTCTTGGTCATCGACGTCTGGAGATATCCCCAGGTTTCTCTGACGTTATTACTATGTCCGCAATTGCCCCAGATCTAGAAAACGACACCACAAGTTTTCTGTCGTGGTAGTGTGCCTTTCGGCCTTATTGCCTGGCGTCTGATGGGCTTTCCAGCATATAGTTTCGACGATCATAGTTCTTTATCCGAAGTGGTCCAGCAGCCTTAACACAATTCTTCTGTACATCATTATGCAACCGTTCGTATGTTTTATACAGTGATTAATCAAAATTTTTCAATTGATAATATTTGAGTCCCGTCCTCCTTACTCTTCCATACAGTTTGCTATCTTTCGCACACTCTGACTCCGATGCTTGCTCTAGTCTTGTTCTATGAGTCCGTGCACCTCCTCGCTTAATGTGACACCAAAGCATATGAATAACATGTCAAATATCACAGTCTTGTAGTCCGGTTTGACCCACAGTCGTGGTTAGCGACAAGATGTCACAAGTTCGTACATCAAAGGACGATCAAGTAAACTCGGCACACTAACCTCTCTCCTAGACCTCCGGGATCCGGGCGCGTGCAGTACGCCGTCTGGAATATTTTGCGGCTGTTGTGAGGTTTTTACCAATGTACACCTCGAAACGTATGCATTTGTAGATGACAAGATGGAGAAGTCGATCAAAATTCAGTTGCAGTTGTAGGGTTATATTTCAGACGGCCGGCAACACCAAATTCAGCTATTTGAGATGCAAAATATGTATCCATAAAGCAATTTTTTAACTGGTTTCGTAAATTGAAAACCTGAAAGGATTTAACAAGAATACACACAATAGCCAAGAATTAATTATCATCCTGAGTAGACTTAACAAGGTTTCATACTGCTGACAATTACTAATGGCAGTCTGTGGACAGGACCTAAAAGAACCATCTTTGAGAGAGAAGAAGTAG